AAGGGATTTACACACAGCTCCTAAGTTTCCGCAACAGCTTGCTTCACCTTTCCTGTCCCCAATTTCTATTGTAATAGCTAGTGCTCTCTCAAGATATTCTATTGCTTTGTCATATTCACCGAGATAGTAGGACATGGTTCCAAACCCCACATAAACATGTGCTTCCCCATTTTTGTCACCGTTTTCTCGCATGATGCCCATCCCTTTCTTGTAAAGTTCTCTTACTTCTGCGAATCTAAAGTGTTGTTCACAAATGTTGGCCAGAGTTAACGTAAGATTCCCTTCTTCCGCTATTTCAGCACACTCACGGTAAATTTCAAGAAGTTTCAAGCTATAGTTTTTTGTATTTGTGTCATCAAGGACGAACCAATACACCGTGAACATCATTCTATATATAGCAACGTTAACTAAATTGAAAATTTGTTCTTCTTTTTTCAGCACTTCGCTGTTTAGGACAATCAAACATTCTTCGCAGACCTCAATAATGGCTTTGAGACCACGACCAGTGTTGAGAAGGAAGATAGCAACTGCCAAGCCAACAAAAATGGCTCGCAAAATGTCTTGTCTTCTATGTTATTCATGGCTTCTGCGTCTCCAAACCATGCAAATTGATAACCTGACGAATTAAGCCTTATGTTAATTTAGAATAAAATCACACTCTTTAGCCTTTTCCCGCCTAGGTATACAAATTAGTGCCTTCAAATTTAATCGGCCAGGGGTTAACCCTGCTATAGACAATAGCACCCAGTCTATGTGGAAGCAGAAATACAGTTCTAGTCGGTTAACGCTACGTAAACCAATATAAGCTCTTGCACTTAAAGCGCAACTCAGACTTAACCTCACCTTGTGTTATCATTATTAAGAAACCCCCGAAAGAAATGTCACCGTTAAGAATATTAGAGTCCTAAATCCACTCGTTAGCGCGAGAACATAAAAGGTGTTCAAATGTTTCATGACGGTGGAGTTAGTTGTCCTGTTATAGCCTGCGTGCAGGCTCTAGGGTCTGGGTTTTGCACTCAAGCGTTGCTTTCTGTCTTTGCGAGCTAGCGAGTTTTAGTTCAAACCTGATTTTTTTTTTTTCAGGCTTTAATTTCGCAGCCGCTTAAGTTGTATATAACTGCGATGTCTCTGCATGTTTCTCCACAGTTCAAATATATGATCTTTCATATATTCATTGCAAAGGAGAACACTGTAGTTAATCGCCATGACATTTAATGAATTTTTTACCTACCAGTTTTTGGAGACAGATCAAAGTTAACCATTAACCGGACCTCGATTTCATGCTGTGTTTCCCGGTAGTCTTGGCAAGCTGCGACACGCGAGGCGCAGGAAAGCGATCACAATCGGATCAAAATGGCGAGAAAGACTCGAAAGGAAAGGTTCGTTAATACTTAAATCGGAAGGAAATCGAATCTCACTATATATTTTTTTGGTAGAATCTCTCCAGATTTTTTTCCCGTGGTATTCAGATTTCCCTTTATCAGGGGTTGATTGGTCTGCAATAGTTTCAATGATTGTTAACACATCTCGTGCGTAATTGTTTCGTCTCCTGGATGAAAATTGTTGAGTATCGCAGTTTCCCAGTGTTTAAGAAATGCAGCAATCAAGCGCGCGTAATTCTGTAAAAAAGGTTTCGGGGCAGCTGCAGTGTCAGCTTTATACAAATTGATTTGTGCAAAACAGAGAAAAAAAATTCTAAGGTGTGTTTTTGCTAACTTCTTGTTGGAATTAGACTTTCAGTTTCCTGTAACAGAACGGCTGACGTGCTTTAAAGACAAATGAAGCGCCTTTTAGAAGAAAAACTAATAATTCTTGCCCTATTATATTTCTTCATTCCCATTCTCGTGACAAGAGAAACCATTTGCGATTAATCCTCGTGTTGTGATTTTATGAGAATCGAAACTATATCATTTATTCTCAATTGAGAGGGCGAACAATATATGATTAGCCATTTACAACGGTAGAGTTGCCTTTGAAAAGTGAAAGCTTCGAAACACTCAGGTGTTCTGCGAAATTCCTGGATAAAAAATGATCTAATCACGCATGCGCTTAGGGTAAGGGGATGGTTTTAAAATATAGCGAGATATAGATGATACCTTGGTTGAAACATACATTGGAAAATGCACTATTCGGCAAGCGAGATGCGGGACGCTTCCGGGTTAAAATGGCGGGATACGGAATGAAGAAACAGCAAATCGAGCTTCCTCTGTGAACTCCACTCTGCTTTGAGTTTGCGACTGCTACACTTTATTCTCAGCTGGTTAACATAATGTCCACAAAATAAAAGACGCGCCAGTAAAATTCGTATTGGAAAGCGTCGAAAGCGAAATCAACGAAACATTTGACGTCCTCGACGTATTTCGCGAAATTCCGAGATCAATTGCAGAATACGGAATGAAAAACAACATTTTTTTATTCCTCAGTAGACTCCACAGTTTATGGAAGAACGGACATTACATGTCGCTCAAAGACCACGCCTATAGAGGCCACGTAACATAGAACCGTCTTGATCGATATCATTAGTTGCTATCTTCAGCGCACTGTACGGCTCGCTCCCATAGCGGGGTAGTGCAATAGGCCCGGATGTAAATTATCTAGTTTGATGAGCTGTCGACACGCGATAGTTCTTGCGAACAGAATCGAACAAAGTCTTACTTAGGCGGCTTACGACGTGATCGAGTTCGAGGTTGATTAGTACGCAGTGTTGCGTGTGAAAAACGTCCCAAAACGGATTTAGTTTTCGTCTGTAATAAGGCCAGTATGTACGGAACATTTGGGTATTTTTGAATTAATATGGTAAATTCTGTCACTATACTATTTCTAATATCATAAGTTATGGTTTCGCAAGACATTTTAGAACGAAAAGAAGCGATATTAAAATCGAGTCATCAAAATGGAGTCATCGAAACGTTGTTCGATCTTAATATTGCTCCTTCTCGTTCTTAACTGTTTCATCACTTTTCTCAAGTCTAAAAATAAATCTACGTACCAGTGGTAGACATTCTCTTGTTATCCCTTGTGTTAATACCACTAGATATGACCTGCACTCTCTACCTTACTATGGAAGTAAACTATGGAACTCCCTCCCCAATACCACCAGGTCACTGCCAACAGTTGCAGCTTTCAAATCGACAATTTGTAATTTAGAATTTGACGCTGACTGCTGTCCCTTCTGTAGACAGTTGTAAATGGTTTAATGCCACTGCATTAATTATGTAAATGTACATATTGTAATTTTATATACTTATTTTATTATTCCATATCCATCCTATTTTATTTATTCATTTATTCATTTTCTCGAAGATATTAACAATTTTGCTATTTTAAATTCAGGTGAAATAAAGGTCATTGTATTGTATTGTACTGTATTGTATAAAGTAGTCACAGCTAGTTTGACAATGTTATGAGGAATTTCATGATCAATAACAGGACAGACGCATGAAAAACTGACGTCAATTTGTTAAATAGATTTTCTTTCGAACTTCATGTTACCTGTCGGCTGCTTACATCAAGAGAACGTAAATTTTGAAATAAAAAAAAGGGGATCGTTTAGGAGCAGGGGGACCTTCAATAAACCCCATAATTCCTTAAATTATCTGCTTTCAGAAACGTTTGTATTTCAACCATTCACTTTAAGCTTTGTGAGAGCAGAAAAATGGGGGAAAAGTTAAGTGAGAAAAACATCAATAGATGTACTGCATCATTGTTAAGGAACAAATTGATGTGCATTTCATGATAAAGGCACCCACATTTAGCTGACAGGCATTCAATATGTTCCAGGCACGCAGTGTTCTTAAGAGCACATATTATTTTTTGTGAGTGCTAGCTATGTTTTATTTTCAGTGATAGCTTTTTACTCTGCAATAGAAATTGGCCTATATATTTACTGTATAGAAAGAAGGTGATTGCTGCATTCGAACAAAATGGAAAAAAAAATCGTTGGGTCCCGGTACTCGTTTCCGAGAAAATAGATTCTTTATAATGGAGTAAGGGAAGGTACGTTTTTAATTGGGAGGGGG